GTACAAGACTTGCCATAGCCAAGGGTGACCTCCTTGTACAATCGGCACAGATGTGGACGGGAAGGCAGCGAGACTTGCATTCGCCACAGGCTCAACTGTCATGTTCGCATAGCCGAATGTCGTGTATGAAAGCCCGTAACCGAATTCATACTGCGGTGTGATGTTTTGCGCGTCGAAAGCGCGGTAGTCGATGTACAAGCCCTCAGTGAAGTCCGACTGCAAGAATGCCGGGATGGACGGGTCGAGAGTCGAATTGAGAAGGTGGCCGTAATCGGACTCTTGCTTTGCGACAGTGTACGGCAAACGTCCGGATGGGCTCACATCGCCGTACAGAACGTCGGCGATGGCATTACCGCTTTCCTGGCCAGGAACACCCGCGAAAAGGACGGCGGTGACGTTGGGGTGGTCAATCCATGCGTCAACGGTGCGGATGCCGGCGGAGTGCAGTACAACAACCGTGTTTGAGCAGTTGGTCGCAACGTTGTTGACAAGCTGGTCGCTGAATTCGTCTGTAAGAGAAGTGCGATCGAAGCTCTCCGAAGCGTATGCGTTGATGAAGACGAGGCATGCGTCAGCATTTGCATACACGGTCGGGTTCACGCCAAAGAAGTCCCATCGTACAGTTCCGCGATCCGCAATTACGCGATTCTGGATGGCGTTGAATGGGCTGATAACGTAAGGTGGGGTGCTGGAGCCTGATCCACCTGCCGTAACGAGGGTGCCGTTGAGCGTGTTCCAGCCAAAGTTCTCTTCATAGCCACCACCGAATCGGGATGGGTTGTTCCATGGTTGAGACTTTACTTCCGCATCGTAGCCGTAGATGTTCAAGAAGCGGGGGTGTTGGAGTGGTAGAGTATTGTTGACATTCTTGACCAGGACGGTTCCGGCAGCTCCGATCTCTCGGATGAGCGACGCGTGGTCTTCACGCACATCGACGATTTCGTGTTCGACGTTGTATGGGTAGACGGCGTTTTCGGGAAAACCCTCGTCTTGGTTGAGATAGAACCAGGCTGCCAGTAGTCTTGTGTTCATGTCATCGAGCCTCTCTGTAGTGACTGATCCGTTGTTCACCGCATCGGTAAGGTTCTCGCCCCAGAATTTGGCAACAGGCATCACCACATCTAGACCGGCATTGGCTGAGGCGACACCGGCATGCTGCGCATCCCAGTCAGATACCACGAAACCCTCGAAACCCAACTCTTCCTTCAAAATTCCGTTCATAAGCTTGCTGTTCTGGCATCCGTATGAGTTGTTGATTCGCTGGTATGAGCACATCAGCGAGCCGGCTCCTTCACGAAGGGCATCCATGAACGGCCAAGCATAGAGCTCGTGCAGTGTACGATCGTCCACATTGGAAGAGACGGCCTCGCCTTCGTCACCAGGGCGTCGCCTGTACTCTTGTTCTTGCGCAAGCCAATGCTATTGATACGATCAGCCCAGACTCTCATCGTATTTACGATGTTGCCTACCTTTGGTGTAGCAATTACACCCTCTTTTTGTGTGCCTCTAGTGATGAGACCACCGCCAATACCAGCAAGATACGGGTCAGCACCAAGACCTTCCCAGTTGCGACCTCCACGCGCGACTCTTCCAATAGGGCCGATGAATGGGCCGAGAGCAACGTGAATGCCCTTTCCTCTGTACTCTCTACCGAGAGCATGGCCATATCTGAGCATGAGATCTCGATCGAACGTAGCTCCAAGATGAATGCCAGCAGGGAATGACGAGACAAACTCTTGTCCTCGCACGCCGGCAGGTGCATCCGCGAAACATAGCTCTGGGATCTGAAGACGAGGTACAGCTCCGGTTTGGCCTACGCAAGGACCGGAGACGCCATGTGTGAGATTCGACTTCTCTTCTAGCGTCAATTGAGCCACAAGGTCTCTCGCACGAGCATATGCGGATGCCCAAGAAGACGAGGTTGTTCCATTGCCGACAGCTGTCTCTTGTTAGTTCTTTCATCTTCGATCATGATCAAAACACCCACGGGTCGGATATACTGGCGGACTAAGTCCATAGAATGGAACCTCGGACTCGTTGGTGTATCCTTGTGAGACCGCTAGATTTGGCAGTAAAGCAAAGCTCACCGCAACTGCGCTGGAGTATCTCATCTTGCGGAACTTTCGTCTGCAACACGATGATCGCAGTCGTTGGCATCACGGGTAGCTAAATACCTCCGAAAATTTTGCATGCATCTCGCGGTCTACCCACGTCATTCGGGATTCCACCGGGCTGCCATACCAGCCTCGTGACGAGCCATCCGCAATGCTACCGTTCTCTCCAACCGTTCTCCGCATTTTGCCTTGGCGGAGAGGGGAGAGCGGATACAAGTGTCGATGGCTGCTGGATGGAGGATGGTCGGCACGACTGGCGATTGCCGACAGGCTAGCTTCGCCGACGATTACCCAGATGCTTCTTCGCATCGCCCCGCTCTGTATTCCATGAAAGCACAACATCTCCATCTCAAAGGTCTTGCTCACTGTAGTACTGCAATTCAAAGCCGTCTTCATTCGTAACGAAGAAGACCTTGATCGATAAATCGAAATCGTTTGCAGGGCCGGCTTTCACACAGACTCACCTACCTAGGTATTCATCATTCCGCAGGCATGAATCAAATTCACGGTCGAAGCATCGCAATGCTTGGCCTGGCCATGATGCTTTTACATTAGCACCGAGAACTCGTCATCCATGTTTTCCGGGCTTTCGCTGTCGGAAGTCGGATCATGAAGTAGCCCCGGATAACAATCGCCCGAACCCCGAAGCGATTTAGCGCGTCGTGCTTACCTAGGTAGGCCGTGCAGATATTCCAAGGTAGCGACCTCAGCCAAATGTTGGCGGCATCGTAGCGGCACGGTCGTTACTTATGGAACAGCCTGGCTATATAATGACGGAACCTTCCGGAAAGCGTTGATAGCGTTGCTACAGTTCCCGGGTCTGACGCCCGTTTCAGCCTGACAACGGCGACGCCTTGGTGCCTCAGGTTCTGTCTCAAGACCGCCAACACGTGGAGAAACATGCATCACCCCAGCCGTTCCTCATTATTGGGACGTCACAACTGTCAATGCGCGTGGACGCATTCCTCTTACGGCGGATCACAACATTCCGTGGGAAATCTTCGGGTTTGCTGGCCAATTGCTGAGCTGCGATGGCATGAACGCTTGAACAATGAGCTGTGAGGCGAGAAGCAAGGGTACAGAGAGAGACCAGTGCTCCAGAAGATTCTTCTGCCTTATGCTCAGGTACGGGTCGGAACCAGAGCTCCGCGTGGGAAAAATGGTGGCGCGTTGACATCGCAGGTCTTGAATCAGGTCTGCCTGCACGCTCAGGCACCACCAGCCACCCTGCACCTCAGATGTTTCCACCCCCACTCGAGCTGCACAAGGCATCACATCAAGGCACCCGGCTCCTGAGGCTCCGAACTTTATTGACAATGTGACGTTTGCCTCAATAGCGATGCTGTACCCGCTCATTGGCAAAGAATTTCTTTTTGTGCCTGCCACTCACTCGTTTAGACACCACTTACTTTCTACTTAGCGCTCTGCGAGCAGCTGCCAGCTGGACTGTGCTTACACTCTACATTCATTTCATCTTGTATTTCCCCATCAACTTCTTGTACAAGAATGGGATATGGCAAATCGATACTGCTGTCAATAAGGGTCCTGGCCCTGATCGTGGCAATGGGAGTGCTAGGACTAGGTGCTTGGTGTAAGTATTGATCTCTCAACCGAGAACATGGAAACTTGGTACTAACGATTACAATTAGCCCAGTTCATCATTCGCGATATGAAGAGCCGTGGTACCGGAATCATGGACGCGGTTCAGCCAGAGGCTCAAATGGCGGAGTATTGGAAAGAATACTTTGCTACGGTGTACAAAGGCGCCATCAAGATCTGGATCTCAGTCGCGGCTGTACGTGCAACAGTCATCGATCAATACCGTTGTACTAACATGCAGGCAGGCCGGCTTTGCTTCGCTTGCGGGCATGGTAATCGTCTTGACAGCCATCATCCAACGCCTGCGCATACCCTCAGCGGCCCTTATCCCCATCGAATGCCTGTGCATGTGCGCCATGGCAGTCGCTCTCGGCGTTTCTCTCAGCTTCAACATGAGCCTCGAGACCTTTAGCGAAACGCGTCTCGATACGGCTGCGAACCCAAACCTCATGATGTTTGCGATCCTGGTCGATCTTAGCCGTGGTTACACCATCGCAGCCGGAGCGGGATGGTTCCTTTTCTTGATCACTTTCATCACCGCAACGATCGATGCGTGTCGTCGCGCCCGAGAAAAGGAGAGTTGTTCATTCGAACCTACTGCATCGGCACTCGGCATGGGTTTCCACGGATACGACGCTGTTGTCCCACCTCCTTCACGCAGCCGCGTCCCCACGATGTACGATCCGCGCGTGCCCTCGATACTTATCGACCCAAACGCACGTGGAAGAGCGTCGGTGGCCAAAGATGTTGAGATGGGACGCGCAGACTCTGTTCTAAGCCAAGAGGGCAGGATTTCGCAAGAGTTTGAGAAGGAGATTTCCGGGCCATTGAGTTTGGAAAGACCACAAAAGGTGCAGCAGATGCGGCCTTCACGACCATGGAGCGAAGTACATAGGGCACCGAAGGCGGATGAAGTGATACACGCCATTTAGACATTACAGACTCATGACCACAGTAGATAGATTAGTCAAGTCGGCATTCGCTTACCTAGAAAGAAGAAAGTATACAAGACAACTTAGCCCAATGAGATTGCCGTCACCAGGTTGTGATTACTTGGAATATCGTAAGAGAAGTTAGCCAGGGAAAGATCATCCAAGCTCGATAGCAGGAGCTACGTGCCGGCCAGACAGTACCCGGGCGCGTCGACGAGTCACGTGACCGCGTCTCTAGCGCGTTTCCTTAGCGCGACACGCCCGCCCCTGCGTCATCACCGCGAGGAGTACCATCCGAACATCCGACTGCCATTCTTGCATCTTTCACGTCCCAATCCACCCCTTCCAACACACAATGGCAGGCTTCACAAAACGCGGCGGCGCCCGAGGCGGCAGTACCTACAAAAAGACCTTCACAAAGAAACGCTCTTCACCCGACGCTGACGACGACAACGCGCCGCGCACAAGCAAGAAGACCAAATCCGGAGACGACGACGAGGAATCGATACCAGTGGTCCCGGAACTGAAGACGGATGATAACGGCGATGCATATGTTGGTGTGAGTAGCCACGGCTAGAGGAAACCGAGGACAGTGGGCAGAAGAGTGCTGACGAGAACGCCAGCTCAACGCCAGCGGCAAACGACGCGTAACAGTTAGCGATTTCAATAAGAGTACTCTCGTTAGTATACGGGAGTACTACGTTACTGATTCTGGAGAGACGAGGCCGGGGAAGAAGGTGTGCACATTCTATTTCTCCTGTATGCTCCTTTAGATTGTTGGGTTGCTAACACAGGTTTCTCATACAGGGCATCTCGCTTACAGTCGATCAATACAACGCTTTACTCGCATCGGCACCGCTTATCGAATCAGCGCTCGCGAAGAAGGATATACAGGTCGTGCGGCCGGATTACGAGGCTGATCTGAATGCGAAAACCGAGGATAAGATGGAGGCAACTGAGGACGAGGATGAGGAAAAAGAAGATGAGACCGCGAAGAAGGCAGACGAGGAAGGGGATGACGACGACGAGTAATAATCCGACGTCTCAAGCAGCAATTCCTGGACTAGTATCCAGATGTATAATAAGGGACAAGTTAGAGTTCTGGGTGATGATGATCAGACTTTATCACGGCAATGGGCGAACAAGTGAAGGCGATCGTTTCATTACGCTCATGAAAGAGCTCGCGTATCGGCTAAAGTTATAAACAAGAACAAGTATGTAAACAGCAATGTGACTCCACCGAGTTAACCAAACAAACGCCAGACCCAGAGATCCAGATGCATACATCCGCCGATTCCTATTCAAAGCCCCGATAACCAACGCCAAATGGACATCTCAAAGCTCGTCGTACCAATCGTTCCTCGTGAACCTGCATCCCAACAACATCAATGCCATCCAAATTTCGTCATGCCGTGACACGTACACATAAGCCATCAATCATGCATTGCGACTTCGAAGAACACGTCGTGGTCAAGCTCGACATATCAAGCGGCGATGCCAACTCTAGAAACCTCAGAGGGCGAGTCGAAGCTTCAAACCGGGTGTTACAGAGCGAGACGCAGGAGCGTGTTCGTATCAGCAGTCGTTAATAGATTTCGTAGATGTGGGTTTAGCCGACAGTGCTCGCCTCTTCCTCAGCCGCACGCCGGAAGTAATCGGCGTCCATCTCGGATTCGTTGAAGGCGGCAGTAGGAAGGTCAGTGCCTACACCGGAGTCGCTGGGTGGGGCATAGTTCTCCTTCATCTCTTCCTTCACGGCGTCGACAGCACGAACGATTTCCGACTGTGTTGGCAGCTCGACGTCGTTCTCGGTAGTGGCCGTCGAGATTTCGGAGCCAGTGACGTCGGATGGGTTGATAGTAGCAGTGGGTTCATCGTCTTCTTCGTCTTCGGAGTAAACAGAGCCCTCCTCGTCGATGCGCTCTTCACCGGGCGCAGCAGAGCGAGCTGACTGAGCACCGTATGAGGTGCGGCGGTCGATGTCGCTACCGGTCATGTACGAGGAGCCGGAGGCGTATGTGTACTCGCTGCCTGTGCCGCCAAAGCTGGAGCGACCGTCATAGCCTGGCGTCTCACCCTCAGCGTAGTCGCGGCTGTCGAGACTGTAGCGACGCTCAGTGCCGGTCTCGCTCTGTGCGTCCTCCTCGATGATTTCGTGAGAGATCGGCGCTGTCTCGTGCTCATCCTCCTCAGGCAGAACATCATTCTCCTTGTTGGCAATGACGGCGCTGGGGCGACCGCCCCAAGAGCCCTTGCGAGAGTAGTTGCTGGTCTTGACAGAGTGGCTGCGCTTCAGTCCGGCATTGCTATCAACCGAAGCTTTGGTTGTCGGGTAAGCTTGGGCTCCAGTAGGGGCGTTACCGCTGATCTGACTAAGGGACAGGATGCGGCGTTGTGCTGGGTTGGCAGGTGCACCGTTGCGACGGATAGCAGGGCGAGGCTTGAGCGCAAGAGAAAGACCATTCGCGGCAGTGCTGGGAGGTGGCATGGCCCTGGTGTCCTCATTGGCAGCGTCTGCGTTCATGCGCTTCTTGAGTTTCGAAGCGTTCTTCGAGCCGCCCTTGGTCATCATTAGAGCACGGGAGTGGTCCATGATGCCGTTCAGGATGCGACGCTCGAGTGCGTCAGCCTTGGTGTCCATGAAGTGCAGCTCCTCTCGTCGAATGTCAAGCGCAGTGTGCAGAGACGAGACTTCACCAGTAAGGCGAACCTTCTGGTTGGCGAGGTTCTCGCGCTCCGCTTGCAGACTGGCAACGGCAGCAAGAAGCGAATCTTTCTCTTCCTTGAGCTCAGCCATAGTGCGATCCTTCTCTTCCTGAAGCTCGGCCATGACACGCTCCTTCTCCTCCTTGAGCTCTTGTACGACGCGATCCTTCTCAGCCTTCATCTCCTGGATGTCTGCGAAGAGCTGCTCCTTCTGAGTAGCCTTCTCAGCTCGCAGACTTTCCAAGTCGACTTCCAGCTGCTCCTTCTGGGTTGTCCTGCGCTCAATGAGCAGAGCAAGCTCCTCAGCTTCACGTTCCTTGGACTCGTTGCCATCGGTGATGAACTGCGTCTGCTTGGCGACGAAGTCGCTCAGCTCTACGGCAGTCATCTTGACTTGAGCGTGAATCTCGTCCAACTTCTCCAAGTTGCCTGCAGCTTTGCTTGCATCATCAGCATGACCAATGAGCTTGTCGAGCTTTTCGTGTACTGCTCCGTCGTTGTAGCTTGGCGCCGGCTCGATCGCCAGCAGCTTGTCGAGCTTCTCTTGCACAGGTGCATCGTCGTACTTCTCGGGAAGCTCGATAGACGGCGTAGGGGCTGGGAGTAGTTTGGGCAGATTGGCAAAGTGCGTCTGCAACTCTTCTGAGCGAGCCTTGGCTTCTTCGTTCCAAGCACGAACGTTCTCGTCTGCCTCCTCCTTGGTCTTCTGTGCGTGCTCGTAGTGAGCCTTGACAAGAGCTTCGATCTCGTGCAAGGCAACCATGAACTTGGGGTGATACTCCGTAATGTTATCCTGGAGGTTGGTGAAGATGTTCTCGACGTTCTTGATCTCATCACGGGTGTGGGAGTGCTCCGTCTTGTCGTCGAGCTTCTGTTCTTCAAACTTGGCAATGGTGTCGTTCTTCTGCTCTTCGAGCTTGGCGATGGTCTCGCTCTTCTGCTCTTCAAGCTTAGCGATGGTCTCAAGCTTCTGCTCCTCAAGCTTCTCCATCATCGCAAGCTTCTGCTCTTCGTACTTGGCGAGTGTCTCCTCTACCTTTCCAATCATGGAAGCAGAGTCGGTTGACCATTGGGTGGTGGTGCCCTCCATTCGGTCGTTCATTCCAGCGATGGTGGCGCCAAGAGTGTCAATGGTCAGACGAAGCTCGTCAGCCGTTTCCCTGTTGCTTTCAAGGATCTTCTCTTGCTCCTCGGACTTCTCCTTCATGACCTTGGCAAGTTCGTCCGCCAAGAGTTGAGCATCATCGTACTTGGCCATGAGAGTGTTGAACTTGTCCTCTAGGCTTTCCGTGAAGCCCGCGATGATCGCGGCTTTGACTTCGTCGTGCTTCTCGAGGTGAAGCGCAGACTTCTCCGCTTGGTCATTCTGAAGTCCCTCGATAGATCCGTGGGCGCGCTCGAACTCCCTAGTAAGAATCTCCATGAGTTCCTTGACGTCAGCCGTGACGTTGTTGGCACCCAGTGTCTCCTCCAATGTCTTGAATGAAGCCTGAAGACCCTCGATGGGACCGCCTTCGATGAGGGTTGTCTTGATCTCCTCCCGCATCTCGTCCAATGCAGTCTTGACGCCGGTGATGTCTTCGACAAGTTGGGCAGCTTCAGCGCGGCGTTCGTCGAAATTGGTCGCCGTCTTCATGATGTCCTCCTCGTAGGTGTCCTTCATCTTGTCGTGACTGTCGCGGAAGTCGTGGATCAGACCTGTGAGCTGTTCCAAGTCGGCCTTGGATGGGAGTTCTTCAGGATCTGGGATCTTCATGTCGTCAATCTTGACCTTGAGATCATCTACAAGCAGAGTAACGGCATCGATATCTGCCTTGGTCGCTTGTGGGTTGGCCTCGTCGTCAGCCTTAGCAGCCTTCATCTCGTCGAGGGCAACCTTGATATCGTCGGCGATGACCTGAATGACTGTCACGTCTGCTTTGGTGGCACCTTCCTCCTCGAACTTCTTAGCAAGTGCCTCCAAGGCCTCGGACGTGGTGCGGACAACGATCTCGACATCTTCCAGATTCTCCTTGGTGATAGCGGTCGCTGGATCTGGAAGTACGAGCTCCTCAATCTTGGCCTTGGTGTTCGCAAGAAGAGTCTCGATGGCGTCGGTGTCTTCCTTCCTAGCGATGCCTTCAAGTGTAGGCGCTGGTGTTTCGCGATCTTGCATGAGAAGGACGGCGGCTTGCACATCTTTCAGAAGCTCTTCGATGTTGACTAGATCCTCCTTCATGGCAGATCCAGCCACGGCGGCTGCAGGTTCGGAAGTTGGCTCCGGGTTTGCCCTGACGGCGTCCATAGCCTCGACCTTCTCCTGGATTTGAACAAGCATGTACTCCATGTTCGCCAAATCGGCGGTTTGCGGAGATAGCTTTGGTGACGGTGGTAGCTCCGCCTGTGTCGCTTCCTCAACGATCTCACGCGACATTGATTCTCCCGCAGCGTCGTTCGCGAGAGCGATCTCGTTGCCAGCTGGAGGAAGAGGGACATACTCTTCGGCGTAAGATTCCTGCCTTACGCCCTTGAGCATGTCGATGTCGTCACGCAACGCGTTCAGGCCGTCCTTGAGCGTGTCCAAGATCTCGTATGATATGCTCATGTCGATGGGCTTCTCGGCGATCTTCGAAACATCCGCCCTGAGTCCATCTAGACCCTCGTTCATCGCATCCATGATCTCACTGGTAGCGGAGTTGTTGCGGTCCGGGGTATCCAGCTTTTTGTCCAGATGCGACTGAAGGTCATCAAGACCCAGCTTGAGAGCTTCCAGGACTTCCTCAGTGTCGGCCCGGGCGTGTTGTCGAGTCACGTTGTCAGACTGACGAAGAAGTTCTAGCTCTCCACGGAAAGCCTCCAGAAGCTCCTCATTGACACCCGCAGACTTGAGGTTGGCCTTGATGTCGTCTAGAGCAGCCTTCACAACCATCAACATCTCGGCCTTGTCATTGTCGCCAGATGGGACCAGTGCGTTGCCAAGCGACTCCTTCAAGGCTTCCAACTCGCCACGGATCAGCGCGATGTTGTCCTTTGACGTAGTCTCCTGAGAGGTGTGCAGACCGTCAATGAGCTCACGAACAGCGTCGACGATGTCGTCCTTCTCGCCTGCACCGCCAGACTTCACCAGTGAGCCACTCAATGTTTCGCGAAGATGCTCGAACTCTTCCTTCAGAGTAGCCAGCATGTCGTCGTTGGATGTAGTCGCAGTTGGCTTCTCGCCCATAAGAGTATGGAGTCCCTCAAAGCCTGCCTGAAGCTTCTCTAGGATATCGTTCTTGTTGCTTGATGTATCACCAAGAAGGACTTCCTTTAGCTCATCGAACTCGTGCTTGATCGCTTCGTTGATG